AACTATTCAACATCATGGCAAGTAAAGATTCGTTTGTAAATGGGTCTGAACGTTTACCAGAGAAGATGATTTGTTATTATTGTGTTGTTACTGATTCATCCATAGGCAGCCATCATGAGGTTCTACATCCTGTATTGGATGTATTCATTATTTGAATGGACTTGTATTAATTATGAGATCATTACTGCATAATTGACAATATTGACAGAGGGGTTCCTCTGTTTCTTGTTATATAGGTCATGCTGCTATTGCTGCTGTCATTAATGTCATGCTTTTTGGGGTTGAGTGACAACACAACTAAAGTTACAAACATGCTCTGTAACCCTTTTTTTATACCAGGCTGGACAAGCTTGAGACTAGCCAATCTTTCATTTTTCATGGTTTCTGGCTAACTGTTAACTTGTATTTAGTCTTTTGGACTTTTAAAACCTTGTTTGATCACTAATTTCAGTGTTTGTAAAAAAAGCACTGAAGTTCATCTCATATCTGTTAACTGTTTTCTTTCACCAGCTCAAATAACACTAGTCTGTTATCCGAATATACAAATTCCACCAATACTTATAATTAATAGTTGAGTAGCTCAGTTTCTTATATATTATTTCAAACCTGGAATTGCAGGTAACCGTGTATAGACTTATATGCAAAGACACTATTGAGGAGAAAATCTTGCAAAGGGCAAAGCAGAAGAATGCAGTGCAAGAGTTGGTTATGAAAGGGAAACAAGTTCAGGATGATCATCTGATGAGACAAGAGGATGTTGTTTCATTACTTCTTGATGATACACAGATTGCACACAAATTGAAAGAAATATCAATGCAGGTAAATTATTCCCTCATAAGTAGATGATGATTTAGACTTGTTATTTTGTTTGAGGATAACATTTTACATGATCTCTGTGTGGGCATTATTTTAAATGTTACTGACTCTTTACTCCTGCTTTTCAATACCGTGAGGTGTGTTTGTTGTGCATGCATCATTTGATGTATAAGCGCATATGTTACATTGTGAACAGACTTGCATTAAAGATGGGCTTTTTACTCGAACACATACTTCTGAAGGAATTAATAGGGCTGGCGTATCAGCTCCTTAATCCGAGTGCCCAAAGAGAGCTATTATGTCATGTAAATATGAACTAAGGGGGTATATCATTTCCATCTTTTTACAGACTGCAATGAAATCTACACGGCCAACTTGTATCTTGAAATGCTACTTGGTCTAATATCTCTACAAATTTTAATTCCAAAATCAGTTTTAAATTGGAAAGTTTCGTTGGTTCTCATTTTCTCTTAACTCACAGGGAAAGGCCATCCCACCATGAACATGATCTCTGCTAGGTTGTTTGGCTGTGAGTTTACTGATATGTCTTGTGTTAGCGATTCTGCCGATTATGAATTAATTTTATGGAGAAACTGTACAGTGCCTTGTTTCTAGCAAGCATCGGGTAATTGGTACAGATGGGCCTTGAAAAACCTTAGGCTTTCGTAATTCAGACCTTTGTCAGCAACCACTTCGCTCAAACCAGAACATTTTCTAAGAATTGTCGAGTTCATTTTGAGTGTTTACAGATGATTTTGAGTTAGTGGTAAAAGTCTGGCAAGAATATTCCTCATCTGCATATTCACCCCTTTAGGCAAAGGATCGATTAAAGAAGAGGCGAGCAAAGGCCATCAAGGTTGACAAAGAAGGAGATTTGAAGCTTGAAGACTTGGATGATCCAACTGAAGAACCTGTAGAACAAGATAATACAACCAGCAAAAAGGTACACAGAGAAACGTTTCTGAGTTATCGAGTGATGAGGAAAACTAGATGAGGAAGAAAAATCGTATGTTATATTTGTTTGGTTACTTCTAGATGCTTCCACTCTAGTGTAGTATTCTTCTCTTTTCTTTTCTACTCTACCTACTGTTTTCTAGAGTCTTCTAGTTGTGAGTAGCTATGAGTAGAATGGTGAAACTTAATAAATGTTTTCTAGAGTATTCCAGCTATAAGTAGAAGTATGTGAAGGCTTCCCAAAGCCTCTACTTTGTACCCAGACTATGTACCCCACAACCTATAATAGAACCTGGTGTTCTTATCTAAGATCTTGGAGTAGATCTTGTGCTCTAGGAGTTCTGGATTGAACTCCTGCTGCCATATTTTGGCCTCTACATTCGCCTCTAGAGCGATATCTATTGTTCGTTCAACACTTGTGCTGTACACATTGTAGCAGCAAGGTGGAGTTGCTCCTCCACAACCTTGTGCTGCTTCATCGAGTCACTTCTTTCTTTGTGATAGGATAAATCACACCCTCGGTTGGGGCTTTGAGGTTTCTTTTTCTGTATTTTCTTAGGAATTCATATCACCCTGTGCGTATACAAACACAAAATCATTGAGGCATTACTTAGGGCCCGTTCGGCAACACCCCAGCTCTCAACTTCAATAACTCCACGGTGGAGCTGAGCCGAACGTGTGAACTCCGTGAAGCTCAAATCTAGAAGCTGGCTCTTCTCTTAGTGCAAATTTGATGGAGTTGGAGAAGGTGCCTTTCCCTGGCTCTGCGAAAATGAAAAGGTTGCAGTTGAGCGTTATTACAAGGTGCTGCCATCGCCAAGTGACCTCTGCATACCGGTTCGAATAATCTCTCCTCCGTAGCTTCTCTCTCACCATCGCTGCACATTTTCTTTACGAGGAAAAAGGTGCCGCTGTATGTCTTACTGAGCTGGGCTTTGCTCCCTTCCCTCTCAGGCGGGCCTCATCCCCATCTAAAGTTGTCAGCCCATGTCAGCGATGAGAAGCTGGAGCTGCGACGCCGAACGTTTTTTCCATCGCTAGTTTTCACTTGAGAAGCTAGAAACCGGAATGAGGAGTAGAAGTTGAGGAGTTTGGGAAGCTAGGCTGTTGCCGAACGGGCCCTTAGTATGCAAGCTTAAAATTCCAATTGAAGCAGATATAAAGGAACAAGTGATGCAGTTTCACATATTGGATTGGCACCCATATAGAACTTCATTAGCTCCTTGTGTGATTGACATGCATAGATGGGTTTAGCTTGCATTTTAGTACATATTCTACCAAAAAATGCAAAGAGATGATCAAAACAAAATGAGCTGCATTATCTTACCCTTTCAATTTCAGTATCTTTGCCTGCACCAGTCCTTAATCTATTGATAGCCGTGTCCGCGGATATGGGGATATGGGCCCAGTTCATAGTAGGTCACACTATGGGTCAACAGTAATAATAATAACCTGATTAATAAACAATCCTGGTTCGATGAGGAAAGAAGTTGATTGATCTTTATGTAATCGTGAGAGGATCACAGTGGTATCATTGATACCGAAGTTGGTTGATCTTTACGGTGTCATGTGATGACCGCGGGTAAAGATCGAGCTCCTTGTGGTCACGAGATGATCACGATGGTAAGTCGATACATGTAGTGGTTACGAGGTAACCTCCAGAGTAAGTTGTTCATGATACCTCAAACATGCTGTTTCCTTGAGGCTTTGTTAGATTCACCTAACTTTCTCAGCCTTGCTATGTGTGAGCTTCATTTGTTTAATTAACTACTAATATATATTTCCAGAAAAAAAGCTCGCACAAGAAACCTCCAAAGTCACAGGATAATGATGGTGCGGATGGCGATGTTCCTGAGAGTGGTCCTGTCAAAAATGAGGAGCATATTGCTTCCCTGAGGCCTAAAAGATCAAAGAGACTAGTGAGGAGCACGGGTGAGGATAAGGAACCCGTTGCTGCTTGTGATGTTGAGAAACCTGCAGATGCAGCTGAAAACAATGACAACAATGATGCAGAAGAGTTGCAAGACCAGACTCCTTCTGCCTAGTTGACCTACTGGGCTGACCTGATGAGAACATAAGATGCGAATGGCAAGACTCTAATTTGTGGTGTCGAGTAGGAGCATCAAAGATGGCACCCAGAGGAGGAGCTCTGGATCTGCTTAAGGTGTTACGCGGTTTATTAAGTATTTTAACTCTGCTGTGCAGCTTCTTTTCAGAAGCCTGGGACTGCAACTTGGGTGCAGTTGCAATGAGCTGAGCCCAATGATGGCTGTTACGCCAGCCTTTATCCCTGCTGTTGGTGATACTCGCTCTAGCCATTTTGTAAATAAGTATTAGCAATGTTCCGTCACATATAGGAATAATTTTGCTGTGTAAAGAGAGTAGTGATGTAGAGTTTTGTTAGGCTAAAAATGAACATGGCAGGAAATATCTGCTGTGCTTCCGAGTTGGAAACATATATCACTAAATTTATGACTTTATTTAGTCGGTCCAATAGATGATATGTGTGTCTATTACTCCCACCGTTTCAATAAGGGTTTGCCAAATCACTTCTTTCATTGTGTACTTAATTTATACGAGTGAAAAATAATGCTCCATCCGATTCATATTGTCTTAGATTTGTGCTATGGATGTATTTAGTGTTATAGATCTTAGATTTGTGCTGTGGATGTATTTAGTGTTATAGATCATGTTAATATTACCTGTTTTAGATTTGTCAGATATGGATCGAGCACGCTGGGGTAGGAAAAAGTTTCACCTAACATTTTTACAAGTTTGCCAAGAGAATTAAACCCTGCAGTGTAAAAGTGCAGCGTCGATAGCTTATGCACACTGGTTATGGAGGGAGGGTTAAAAAACGGCAGGCAGACGTGAGGCCAACAGCACACAACATTTGTCAAGAATTCTGCAACTCTTCAAACAAGCAAACGATGATACGACCTGTATTACAAGCATTCAGCGCACATATGAGTAAATTGATACTTCAGTTGGTCATACACAATCAAAATCACAACTCAGTCTTCAAAACAACCGGAGGCTCCGGACATAGATCTTTTAATAGCTAGCGAGAACTCCATACAGGAATACGTTATCCTTCTCATATCAAACATATTATTCGGATAAGGCGGTGCTTGAAATTGAACATGGCACACAACCCCAGAGGAACTGTTTCTCATCTGACACGAGCTTCATGGCGGTAAAAACTAGAAGTAGAGGACCAAGTCCTTTGCTTATTTGGCTTTGGGGTGCGAGGCGATGAAGTCCACTGCAGCTTTAATGGAGTCAATTTTGTCAGCTTCATTGTCAGGTATCTCAAAGCCAAATTCCTCTTCCAAGGACATCACAACCTCTACTGCATCCAAACTGTCTAGGCCAAGATCATCCTTAAAGTGGGCATCTGCTTTCACCTACAGGACAATGCAAAGAAACCAATTAATGATTTCAAACGCTACAAAACTCATCACAAGGAGCACTCCGCAATTCAGTCCACCCAACCAAAGCAAAACAGAAACAAATCACCATGCCCAAACGCTGAAACTGCAGCATTTTACCTCTGCTCTGCTGTAAACTTCAGTAGCACAATTGTGCAGGCCAAAGACTCAGAATGCAAGTAAATGCAAGCTAGCTAGCGCAGTTTTTCTTCTGAAAATTAGATGGTTCACAGCATGGAAAATTGGGTTGCTATGAATGGTTTTCTGTTCCCACCATTTTTTGCTAATTTACTATGTGTAGTGAAACATATTATTCGTTTGCAATCCAATCATTTTACATGACCTAGTTCGAGTTAGGTCACAGAGAACACCAGCTACAGTGCATAAAAAAACGAAAATGCTATTGTGCTGACGTTCCCTGGGAGGGCATGGCAAAACAAAAACTTTTCATGGCAATTTATGTTGTCGCGAGGATGGCAAATTTCTTCAGCGAGCACGCCCTATGCGTGACTAACTAGTGTTTTGTACAACTCAAGTCAAAATAGGAGGTGCAGTGCGCAATTAACTCTAAACAGTAATCACCAGATTTCTAAAAGATGTTCTGGATCTGGAAATCAGCTGATCAGTTACCAAATATTAGTGAGCTAAAGCAGAAAGATTGCCCATGCGAATCAACAGAAGCATAGTGATGACAAGAACGCACTAATAAAAAGGCACACATGTTATGTCATCGAACTGATAATCTAAAACCACTCATGAATGATTCCTCGGGCATTCTGGCTTTGAAAGCTCCGCCAGTGGTTCCTCCCCATCTCAAATCCATACAAACTCGGATGCATACATATAATTAAAGTGGCTATGCTAGAGCTCCTCATGAGCATCCATAGGTTTGGGCGTTGGCTCTCCCTGTGTTGACATGTGTACAAGTTTGATTTTTCTGTTTTTGATTAATTTTTACTGCTTTTGGAATTTACTGCTGAAGGTCTTCGTTTTCCACGTATTCGGTGTTCTCCGGAAGGACCCCGACTCTTCGTTGAAAATATCCAGTCTCTCCTTCTAGGCTCTCCCCCTCCTACATATGTTTCCTCTCAATCTCTACCACCGCACATGAGAAGTCCTCCATTATCGCATCCATCCCTCGCGCGCCTGCCACCATCTGCCGCCGGCTGTCGCTGGCTGGTTAGTGGCGGCTCTCCACGCCCATGGCCCCTCCCTCTGTTCTCTCAAAGCCGGTGGCAGCGCTGTGTCCGCGTCATCCGCGACCTTCCTTAACGAGCGACGTCCACCTCCAGTTTGCCCCTTCCTCCCGGTGTACCAAGCCGCACATCGACGCGGCCATGTCCGCACACATTGTGCGTGCTCTGGCCCATGTTCTACCCAGGGGTGCCTCCTCCTGCTCTATAGTAGGCTGCTGCCACGTTCCCTCCACATGGTTGCATCCGTGAACTTGGAGGCGATGACCCTGTATCTTTTCTCATGCTATGTGTGGTGAATTTTGACCAATCTTGGCTGACTTGCTGCACAACTTCATATATGTGAAGTTGTCATGTACTTGGATTTTTTTGGCATGTACGATCTTTTGAAAATGGTCGTTACATGTATAGCAATTTGATTTTGTTTTTCTGTTACTGATTAGTTGATCCATTTAGTTGGAACATAAACCGGTTTTCGTTAGAAACATTCACAAATTAGTGTGGTTAATAGAAATGAAAATTTAGAAACACTATATGCTGCCACATAATATATAGTTGATTGTTTGGTTGCAAATCTACCTCATACATTAAATTGATTGGTTTGGCATAATCCTTAAGAAGTATTCCATTGCTGACAGTTTGTTTCAAAATGGATTGTTCTGACTTTGCAATCCTCTAACTAGAATGGCATGTTTTCTTATGCTAATTTTTTATGTGTTTCTTGCAGGGTCGAGGAGTACTTGACTCAGGTCTGCATCAAGAGATTGGAGTTAGCCACAAGAACTTGAAATTGATTCTAACAAGGCTGATGCACCCTACGGCATGGTGAATGCACCTACACACACAATCCATGCTATTGAATTATCTAAAAAGATAACTTGTTGTTCCCAAGAACCTGGTTAAAGTGGTATGTGTAGTCTGCCATAGTGTTTGTCAATATATCAATTATATGAAAATAGACGGGTCGTGATTAGGTAAAGACATCAGTTATTTATAAAGTTTTAGACTCTTGCTATCATGCATGTCTCTATAGATCACTAGCAAAATTTGTCCTAATCATTTCATTGTTGTCATTATCTGTTGTTTGTTCACGAAGATAGATCCCCTTTTGCAAGCTGACCAATACAAATTAATGGTAATGATCATGGTTGATTTACGCTGTTAGATCAAATGTTTGAGAATTTGTTCCTTAAATCCAAAAATATTCTGTTTGTTACTACCCCTTTAATATTTAGTGTATTGATTCCCTTCATGTGTGTCCAGATCTATGTCAATTGGAGATTTCACAAGGAATTGATGAATTTCAGGATCGACTGAGCACGGAGTGACGCAGAGAGGGCAACAAGGCATATGAAGCAACAACAAGCCACCAAGCTAGCATACACATGAGATATGGGTTTGATTTGTGAGTGATTCGACATGTATTGTCCTTCATATTGTGCAGTGAGTAAGGTACAATTAATTCCTTATGGTAGTTGGGAGCCCAAAGGTAGTTCCGACAACAGACATGAGGTAGCAGACTAATCCCATGGTCTTCCCCGCTGCCCAATGTTGGTGTGCTATTTCAGATCAATACCTTCATATAGCAGCAATATGAAAATATCTAAACATGTTGTTTCAGATATTGGTGCTAGCAAGCATAGGTATCTGTATTATCAATAGTTGCATCTGTACTTTGTATAATTAGTCAATATTTTCATATTTTGGTTATCTCAATATGGTGGAAGAAAGCATGTTATTTTATGAAAATTAGATAGCTGCTTTTGCGCTTCATATCTAAGGGTGTTGTTTGAGTGCTAATAGTTTTACACTTTTACTAACTATATATTCCTTTGACATTTCATATAGACCTATCTGAGCCAATATTCTAAGCCTCATACCATTTGATTAATTAGACAATATATTTGTCGCAAGTCGTAACTGTCCTGCTTGATTACTAATTTCAGATTTGTTCTTCCTTATTGTGGGGGGCATATCTATATTCTAAGAAACATTGGTGTACATGGTAGACATTTCTTGACATGGCTATTATGTCTAGATTTTGGTTCTATGGTACATAACAAATTAGCTTCTTGGTCTACATAACTAACTTGCCGAGGGTTTTGGCTGTGGATGTCGTTTAAGGTGTATGCTGCAACCATTGTGAGCAGTGTGTCTACTAACATTGTCAAGAGGGCTTGCTGATTACTGGTTGTTTGAGCCACCAGCGGCCTGAGCTGTTCTCTTTTGTGTTATTGGATACTCATTTATCTACAAAGATAGTACTCGAGAGCGAAGATCTCAGAGATTTTATTTCCCATTGCCTCTGTCTGAGCAGTGAGTAGTCCTCTTCACCTTGGCTAATTCTGTACTCATATAGAGCAAGATCTCTGGACGTATCAACTGAATTCCATTCACCTGGATACTCTTCTACCTCGCAGGTGTATCAAATTTTGCACTCTGGCAGTCTTGAAACCCCTCCTACTTTTAAATGGAAAAAGAAAATCTTGCTGTCAAAGCAAGCATCAATTTTTTTTCTGGCCATAACTAAGACAAATCCAAGAGCAATCTTACTCACGTGTCATGTGTGGTCTTCAGACAATTGGATCAAGGGATCACCTCTGTTTCAATTGGTAGTTTGCAAAGTCGTCCTACTTATGCCTTGGCATTAATCTGGGACATTGTTTTTTTATTGTTTTTGAGGGACTGTTTTTTTGGATAATATTTCAAACTCTTAGGCAAGCAATCAGTAATCTTTTTTTAGAGAGATGATCACTCACTGCTTTTTCCTTGCTATGCTTGCAATAGGAAAACCACCTACTTTTTTCTCCAAATATAAAGCAAAAACTACGGATGGATGGATCTGTCAGTCATTGATTGGGTTTCTACAACATAAACAAGTAAAATTTGCTGCTTTCATGCAACGGATCTTATGTGCTCTAAGAAGTTCAAGTTGAAAAAAAAAATAGAACCATATTGCTTTCTTCTGTGGTAGATGCAGGATGGAAGAGCAGGAGTGAAATTGCAATCAGAAGCTTCGAAAATTCAACAAGATTCTGGGCAGGCATCATCAAACGGTGGAAATCTCTTCTCTCCCAACAAACAAATAAAAACACACGCACGCCCAGCTCGCTCTCAAATCCACTACCACCTATTCTCCGCTCGGAATAATAAATAATAGTATAGATGTACACACGAGTTTCTGCACGGGCGGTGTGCCGCCGCGCATCCGCCTGCTAGTAATACCTATAAGCGGCTAAGCTAGATTGCTTAATAGGAGGGGAGATCTATCTAACCAACAGCGTACAACATGTCAACATTTGAAACAACGCCGATCAATGTTGCTTCCTCCCAACAGAAAGAAAATGTAAGAAATGATAAACAAAAGGGAACACTGGGCATCCAAGCTGTTGATTTGATCCTACTATGGAACTGGTAGCAAGAAAAGGAGGGCTTGGAGGGGGACCTTGGATGGGTCGTCGATCTTCTGGAAGTTCTTGACGACCTTGATGGTGCGCTCGGTGACCTCGTCCTTGTCCAGGAACGACCCCTTGGCGTCCTCCGACGACATCCACCGCCGCCGCGACAGGGCCCCCTGCAGTGCCGCTGCCGGCCTGAGGGCCACCGACGACGCGGGGGCCGCGGCCAAGCGGAGGTGTCGCAGCACCAGGTTCCTCGCCGCCGCCGCCGCCATTTGGGTGGGATGGGTGCTTAGCTCCGGGGAGGGGGGCAGAGGGGGTCGGAGGAAGCGTGATGCGTTGCGGCGGCGGGGCGAGAGTTTTCTGGGCTGGGGATCTGGGGTGGAGTGGGGGAAGAGGAGAGCGGCCGGGTTTTAGGCCAATTGGGCTTTGGACGAGACCATCATGCTCCCGTCTACGTGCCTTGATTTAATTAAAACAAAATAAGGTCTGACCTTACCCCTTTAAAATCATCAGGGGAAGATGATTAGATTAGAAAAAAAAAAAAGACAGACGTAGGATTAAGTGGGAGCACGGAGAGGGAGCAGGCAAGCCGGATCCATTAGGCTTAGGTTTGTTCGTGGTGTATCCTACTCGGTTAGTTCGCCCCTCTCGACAACGAAAAAGCGCATATGAGAGAACAATTAGTTAACGAGCACTGAGTGCTCGTAACAAGCGGTTCGGGAGCGCTACGCAAACAAATGTCACGCGCGGAGCGTTTCTGTAAGGAAAAACCAGCTGGCGCGGTTGGTTCTTGGTTTTTCCTTTTCGTTTTGTGGTTTCATGCATTTTGCAGTTTGATCTTCGAACTACCAGAATTTTCCGTTTTTTCTTTTCACGTGATAACACAAAAAAAATACCAGTTCGCGCGGTTGGTTCCCCATTTCCCTTTTTCGTTTCCTTTTTTGTTCCTATTATATTTTCGGATAATGAAGATTTATGGGATAGTTACGGGCAGGGACTACCAACATTATTAAATGTGACCTTTCAAGTAAGGAAAAAACAGCAACTTTTTAATGCAAAACAGCAGTCTTCAGAATCGTTCAATCGTGTGAATTCTGTATAGGCACAGGTATACACTAGCAGAGGCACATGTGTATAACTTTACTAAATTGAAGAACAGCGCCCCCAGCGCTTGTGAACCTCCTACTCGTCTTCGGCTTGTTTAATTTTCATAAACATCTTGAAGGGGGGCATAGGTCGAAGTGTGTTTCGGTCGTGCAGCGTGCTGGTTCGTGCGGCGCGTTGTCCGTCATGGTGTGACACGGCGCCTTCGGCGCGAGGGAACCTCCTGCTCACCTTCGGCTTGTTTAATTTTCATAAACATTTTGAAGGGGGGCATGTGTTTCGGTCGTGCAGCGTGCTGGTTCGTGCG